TGACAGTCGCTGTGCCTACACACCTCAGCAGGGGAACTGGGGGGCTGCGGGCGGCTCTTAGGTGTGCCTAGTGAAATTTCCACTCACCCCACCGAAGCAAGGGGGTGTCACCATTGGCTGTCCAGGCTCCCCGATGCCCCGGAATGGCAAGCGGAGGGTGATGGGAGAGGTCCCTGTCACCACCACCGGGAGGGCCAAAGGTTTCCCCAGCATTATGCTCTCTGGGCCCCACCTGGGAATCGCATCAGGACCCAGCTGCTGTCCGTGGTGCTGAAACTTTGGTTGCGCATCCATGGCCGGCTGGGCAGTTCCTCCTGGGGCATTTTGCTTCGCTCCCTCCCTCTCCAGTTGCCCTGGTGTGGTACCTGTTTTTTGGCCTCTTGGCCCTGGCAGCTGCTTCCTCCCTTCCATCTCCTTATCTAGCTGATGTGGGTGAGGCCTGTTTCTTCTGTGCAAAGCAAGACCTGGCTTTTTCTTCTTCTTCTTCTTCATTTGCAGGCTTTGAAAGGGGTGTTTGATGGTGATGCTGCTAATTGAAAAGTTTCTTTTACATTTGATTGACCGGCAGCGCATGTCGTTCCATGCTTGTGATGTATGCATGTATGTGTATAAGCACATCCAACGTCTTGTTTGCTGGTCTTTTCCACTCCTGCCAAACTGCAAAGCGGAACAAGGGGTTTGCTCCACACGCCTCCATGGGGCTGTGGGTTGGGATTGCCTCTTGGGTTGCTCTCTCTGGATCCTGCCCCACATCATATTGCATGCTGTGCTGCTCTTCCCTGCTTGGGGGGCTGCACTTTGAACCCTGATGGGGGTCAGATCGCAGCACTGAGATCCCTCCAACCTTGACTTCACTGGTCGGAGATGATGGGAGTTGTAACCCAACAAACTTGCCTGCCAGGCTTAAGGATTTGTTGTCAATACACAAAGCCTGGCATGACTAGCTGACGTCAAGGAACCTGTTCCTGCTCCCAGCTCCCTTTTTGTCCGGGGGTTGGGGGTGGGTTCCACCTGACATCTACAAGCAGACCAGCCTGCCTCCCCTGCAAAATGACTTAACTCCCTCCTTAGCATGACAGCTCTCGAAGCTGCTGGTGGTGTGTTTTTGATCCATTTCCTTTAGCTTGCCTGGCTGGGAGGTGTTTGAAAGTCCCTTGCAGTGTGTTCCCCGGTTATCTGATTGCTTTGTGGTGGTGCCTCAAACTCTTGTAGGACTGGCAGAAATAAGAAGCAAGGTAGACCCACTTTCCATAAAATAAAGCACTCGGGCGCCTCTGAATGAGCGCCGAGTACTACTCCCTGCACCCCAGAGGCCCCATCGGTCAGTCCTGACTCCCTCAGGGGCCCGGCTCTTGCTGCTGACCCTTCGGGTCTCCCTTTCCCACCAGCTTTCGGTCCTCCCGCTTCCGTCCACCTGTTTTCTCTCTTGGCTCCCTTTCTGGTTGCCAGTTCCTCCCAGACATTCCCAGTTCAGCTCAATTAAAATCAAAAGTTTGGCTTTTCATTCAGCGAGCCATTTGTGCCCGGTTTGATTTCTATGAATTAGTAGGAGGTGTTTTGCTTTCCTTTTGCTTTTTTAGCGGGCAGTGCTGTGCGCCAGGAATCGGTGCCAATTGGCGTGCAGAAAATAAGGCTGGCCAACAGGCTGTTTTGGGAAATGCAGGGTGGCGGCAGGGGGGTTAGAATGGTTCTTGGTCTGTGTGGGGAGGAAGTGGCTTGGATTAGGCTTCTGCATCAAGGGGGGGCTGCGGTCCTTAATGCCCCCACCCCTGAAAGGGCTATGGTCTCCCCAGTGGCTGATGCTTGTGCAAACAATGTGCCCTCAGCACCATGACCATGGGGAAGAGGTGGGTGCGGTGGGAGGCAAGGGGCTTCTTAGAACCACCCCAGGATCTGAGGTCTTTGATTTTTCCCTGGCTTTGGACCCCCATTCCCAACAGGCAAAGGGTGCTTTGCGGCTTGTTTTCCCCGGCTGAATTGAGACACACAAATTGGGTAAGAAAGAGTAAAGCTGTATCTCCTTGCAAGGCGTCATCTCTGCCTCACTCCCACTCACCTCCGGCTGTAAAGCTTTTGAAATGAATGAAATCAAACACGGATCTCAAGAGAACAACAGCACGGAAACCAAAAATCTGCAGTGCACCCTGTAGTCGATTCAAATGGAGGCTTGAAGCAATATATATATTTATGTGTCTTTGCAAACAGACCAGGGAGGGCTCTTCCACAGCACTTGGGGCTACCACGAGCGAGGCCCGGCTCTCTGCAGGATCTGACCTCTGGTCCCTGGAAGGAAGATTCAAGGAAAGACCAGCAAAAACGGGCTGCCTTTTCTTGTGATGAATCATACCCATCAGGCCCCGTCTTCTGGTCCTCCTCGTGCAGGAGCTAAGAAGCTCCCAGCGCACTAGCAGCTGGAAGCACCGAGGCCGGAGAAATGGCTTTTGTGACGCTGGCGATGTAAAACAGCCTCCTCCGCTTGGCACCAGGTGGAAGGAGTCCTAAACATTTGTCCTAATCAGACGCAACACTCAATTAGCGGAGTCTTCGTCAACTTAATTTGAAGGGGCTCTTTGTGCGTCTGGGAGCACTTAGCACTAAGTGGACTTTATTTAATGTAACTGAGCGATTAGCATTCCCTGGGATCCCTGCCTGGAAGGCAAAGCGATCAAGACATCGGCTCTCCCGCCACCCCCACCACCCCCTTTGTCAGCCATAATGGTACACCTTCCATGTACAAAGCTGGGAGCCCGCGGACTCTGTGTGGCGCAGGTTGAGCTGGAAGGATGAGGATCTGTGGGCCTGGGCTTGGCTGGAGGAGACACCCACTGAGTATGTGTGTGTGTGTGTGTGTGTGTGCTGGAAGGATGAGGGTCTGTGGGCCTGGGCTTGGCTGGAGGAGAGCTTGCTTTCCTTTCCAGCATGGTTCCTGGTCCTTCCCAGCTTTAGGCTGTGTTTCTGTTGTGCTGCCTCCCCACCTCCCACCTGTGCCTTTTGCTAAACGCCTCCATCTTTCCTCCTGCAGCTGGCTTGAGACAGTTAGTCATTTTTGTTTGTTTCTTGCTTTCCTTTCCAGCATGGCTCCTGGTCCTTCCCAGCTTTGGGCTGTGTTTCTGTTGTGCTGCCTCCCCCCACACACACCTCTGCCTTTTGCTAAACGCCTCCGTCTTTCCTCCTGCAGCTGGCTTGAGACAGTTCGGCCCACCCTGGTCCAGGCAGACCCTCCTCAGCGACTCGGTGGAGAGCTCTGATGATGAATTCTTTGACGCACGAGGTAGGCCAGCTTGGGACCTAGCGTCTCTGAACATCTGTGAGTGCTTTTCCCTGGGCTTATTTCTTACAACAGACCCCCGTGGGGGGCTCTGACTTCTGTGAGCTAATGGCCAACCGGCCTCTCTCCTACGCTTCCGCAGGATCAGCTTTGGGCAGGGCCTCGGGCAAGCACCCAGCGATGGGCTGGTGGATTCAGTGCCTGAGTGGCTTTATGACCAAAGATCTCTGGGCCGCACGGATTGGCAAAACCCATAAAATAACCAGTGTCTCTTAAAGCAAGAAAGTGGTTTTGGAAAGCAGCGGCGGTATAATATGAGCCATAATGTTAAAGGAGGGGGTGATAATTATCAAAACTGTTCGAACAGCTCATACATGGAGATGGATAGTTCTGAAACACCATGGATCAAGCGAAACAAGCAGCAGGTGAAATGGAGGAAGCTCCCGGGCTGAAAAAGCAGCCTGGTGCCAGTCTTGTTGGCCACCACGGTGGTTTCTCTGAGAAGGGCATGCCACTGCCCAGAGGCCATTGTAGGAAAGCCCTGCTGACGAGCAGCCACTTTGGTGCCACTTTGGAGCAGGACATCTGACAATGATTTTGGGCTCAGGCAGGGATGTATGGAGTGCGGGTGGTGGTGGGGAGCGAGAATCCTTCAGAAACAGGGACCCCAACCAGAGAAAAGGTTCCCTCAATTCATGCTTGGGACAGAGATGATGGTAGAGGCAGGAAATTGGATAGCAATTTCATAGCGCCCAGCTTCAGCCACTCCATCGGCTTTCACATTTGGACGGTCTTTGCACTGTCTTCAAGGGCAGCCCCACATGTAAATCATTGTAGCAATCTAGCCAGAAAGTTACCCGGTCTCACTCCCCAGCCTGGTGTGCTGAAGCTTTGCTAGCTTCTGCTTGTTGCTGACTGTGTTTCCCTCTCCCTCCCTGACCACCCTGGCTTTGCCCTCTGCTCTGGTTTACGTGAACCAGAAGAAGCCCTTTGGGGTGCTGACCTACTTCTCTTTTCTGGGAAAGAGGCATCGGCCGTGGGCTCTGTGTCTCTTTGTCACTCTTTCTGGTGTGGCCAAGAAACTGTCCGCGCAGGAGGGAAGTGGGAAGGAGGAGAAGGTTCTCTTTGAAACCACGGAGGCTGGGGAGAGGAGAAAGGGAGAGGAAACTTGCCACAAGAGAAGGGATTGGAGTATCCCGGGGGGGGGACACTTCTTGGCTAGCATGCAGGGGCTGAAGAATCCCAGGAGGAAGAAGCAGAGAGATTTTTTTTTGGGGGGGGGAGTGAATTCAGCCCCATTGCACAAACCAGACCGCTCCACCGTTGGCATGAATATTGTCATGCCAGGAGCAGCTTCGCGGATGATGCCCGTTCTGCATCCAGGCCAGCCTGCTTCCTTTGCTTCTTCGCTCCTCTCCTGGAAGGGCTGAAAGCCCTGCCCTGGGCAGCCCTGTATCCTGTTCCATTCATTGAAGGGTGGCTTTTATACTTTTCCTCCAGGGAGCACAAGGAAGAGTGAGGTTGGTCACACCTGGCCGGGATTTGAACCCAGGTCCTCCCCGTCCTATCCCATCAGAACAGTCATTTAGCCACATGCTAAGCATGTTGTTTGGTGCCTGTTCGATTAACAGCCTATCTGGTTTCTGAGCTTCACACCCATGATTATAAAACTATTAAAACACTTAAAGCAACAGTGGCAATTGTTCATCTCTCTCTCTCTCTCTCTCTCTCTCTCTCTCTCTCTCTCTCACACACACACACACACACACACACACACACACACACACACACACACACACACACACACAGCATAGATGGCTCCCCTGCACACATCCCAACCTTTCTTCACCAAAGGCTGAAGGAAGCAACACGCATGGTGGCAGCTATTTCTGGGTCTGCTCAGCTCCATCTATAATTTAAGGCATGGGCAGGATCCGTCCTCTAACGGACGCCTGAGCCGCGGTGGCACAGCGGTGGCTCTCCATAGCAACCCTCCCCGCCACCCGAGGACACAACAGCAGCACAGACCGTTCCAGGGTCACAGTTTTGATCTTGAAAAGCCTCCTTTCCTTCAAACACTTTTCTTTTTTATCCCTCAGTGGATCAATGGTGGGTAATAATTAGGCGCAGAAGAGCCCTTGGCGAGGCGGATAACCACCGATTTAATCTCGGCCGAGCATTGCAGGGTCCAGTGTTTGTGGTTTATATCCGTGGGGGGAGATGGGGACACGCAGACAGACCCATGCACGCTCACGCACCCGGAGCGCATGGGTTTTTGAACCCCATCCCTGCGCCAGACATCGGATCGAGCCATTCCTGCTGCTACCGCTTTCAGGCATAATAGTTTTAATCTTGGGCACGAGGGCGAAAAGCCAGAAAGATTGTTAATTAAAAGGAGGAATCAAATGAAATGCTTTGCATGGGGCTAATGGTGCAGCAGTTGAAAGCGAGCGCTTGGCTTTGTTATCTCAGCTGCCCGGTGCATTCGCTGCGTGGATTGTAGCTGCCCAGCTCCCGGTGCCCGTTGGGGTCCGCTCAGATCTCAGCTGCCCTGAGGGTCTCGGTTTCAGATCTTTGAACAGGGTTTGGCAAGATGTGGTCTGGATGGTAGCGACAGAAGTGGTGGGGGTGGGAGTCCGGTTTTTCCCTTTCCACCCCCTTTCATGTCAACAACTGAAAGCTAATTGTGCAGTCAATATCGTACCTCCTTTGGTCGTTGAGTGCTGCAGGATGGGGACCCTTCTGACATACTGCGCTGTCCTCACCCCACTCCGATTAGGGTTCTTGTTTGCCCCCCTCCCCTTCTCTCCCCTGTCCTAAAAGCCCCTTCACGGCACTTTTCAAAATCCGGTGCAGGGAGATCAGCAACACAGAGGAGGCCCGGCTCGGTCCTTTTAGCCGCATCCACGTTCCATCTCGGATCCGTTTCCTGCAGAGCTTGGAAAAGTGGACAGGCCTTCTTGAACCCCCCTTCCCCTTAGCGTTGCTGGGGATTACATCCTGGAAAATGTATTTTTCCCCAAAGTATTTTTTCAGAGCTGTTTGCTTGGGAGTGGCCCTCGGGAAGGGGCTTGGAGAGGCCAGCGAAAACGTGTGAAGAATGCCCAGGGGGGATTTCTGGCGGTGCCAGGAGTAGCAAAGAAGCGGTGACATTGATTATACAGTATATTTATCCAATGGCTACACCATCCCACCAGACATGAGTGCTGCGATTATACTGGACTGGCATTAAAAGGTCCCTGCTGGTGGCGGGCTGCTTTCTGGGCCCAACTTAAGAGGTGGGTTTTATTATCGAGATCCCTCCGTGTCCAGGGACCTGGCGCTCCAGAGGTTACGGTTTCCAAGAGGGGCCTTCTTAAAATGCCAAAGGCAAGCCGTTTCTCTCTTTCTCGCAGAGGAAGTGGTGGAAGGGAAGAACGCCATCCTGCTGGGCATGAGCCAGTGGAACTCCAACGACTTGGTGGAGCAGATTGAGACCATTGGAAAGCTGGAAGAAAGCCCAGGTAACCTCCCCCCGGCATCGGGCATAAGGCAGATCTCCTGCACGTGATCTTGGAGGGTGGAGTGGGTGGGTGGGGGGATGCCGAGCAGCAGGGCTGACTAGCTTCAAGACTTTGGGGCCCCTTCCCTTCCAGTCCAGTCAAGAGAGTAAGGGCCGAGGTGCAGTTTTTCCAGGCCTGGCGTTGTATCCCGTTGGTTGGGTTTTCAGCAGAACGCTGGTGGGCCTCGCCTTCTACGAAATAAATACCCCTCAAACCAAGGTTTAGACTCCTTGCCGTCTGATTTCCCCTATTTATTGCCTCTCAGAGCCCAGCTGCCTGGCTGCTTTGGGGCTACGTGGAGAAGGCCGGCAGGCTCCCCTTAGGAGGTTCAAAAAGAAAGGCTATGATGCATTGAGTCAGTCCTTCGTAAACTGATTTCTTCAGTTGGATCCTTGTGGGAGTGGAAAGGGGGGGAGAGATCTGTTCTGGTGCCCCACCCTTGCCTGTGGGCCAAATGAATGTACTTCTCTGCACGGTTGTGTAGGAAGAGCCTCAGTGTCACTAAACCCCTGGCCCAGGAGCCGGGGGCGTAAGGGGGATCTCACCCCCCCCCCAGTGCCAGGCAAGTGATTTTTTGGGTGAACCAAAAATACCTCGCTCTCTTTTGCACCTGCTGTTGACCACAGGTCTTCCTGTCTCCTTCCTGTTCCTTGCGACGTTTTCCTCAGTCAAGAGCAGATGGTTTCAAAGAGGGGGCTGGAGGCACAGAGAGGTGTGCCCTTTTCCCCTTGTCTGGAGGGGGAGCGAGGGGGAAAAAATCGATCTAAGAGCAAGCTGGGCTTTTCAGAGAAAAGTGGTGGTTCATGTCTTGTTTTTTCCCCTCCCTCTGAGGAGTGTGAATGATGTCCTTTCAACAAAAAGGCACATGGGGGGGGGAAATGTTTTTAAAATGCCCCCCTCCTCCGTTGGTTCCTCATCTTTCACGTGGTCCCACATCGGGTGCTCCCAATTTTGCGTGGTTTCAAAGCTGGCTTTGGCGGGAGGCCAAAAAGAGACGGCCGCGTTTGGGCGAAAGAGTTCCATCTTGTGTCGGTTGCCCCGAACGGGTGTTTTTGAGGAATTCTGTGGGACCTTTTAATCTGGGAAGGCCGAACAGATCCCAACATAGCGAACCCCTAGTCCGGTCGGTCGATCGGTCGGTCAGTCAATGGCCTGTGGCTTTCCCCGTCCTGCGCTTACGTGAGCGCGGAGCGGGATTACCTGCCAAATGCCACGGGGGGGGCTCGGGATGGTGGCTAGGAGTGCCACGTTTTGAGAAAGAGGATCAACTTGTTTGGCTGACGGCAGACTCTGGAAAGATGATTCAAAGGGACTAGTGTGAGGGAAATATCTCTTCTCTCTGGGCTTTTAACGGATTTTGTTGCTGTAAGTGAGAAACCTGTGGAAAGTTACTCCGTCACTTTTAGAAACGGTGGCATAATTTTAGCAGCAAAAATGGCTCTCTTTTTTTTTTTTTTTTTGCTCAAAGGGAGCAGTTACAGCCATCTAGTGTGCGGTTGGATGTTATGTGCCAGCTGTTTTCATGAATGCTTCAGTCTGGGGACCCTGGGGGGGGGTCTTGCTGAGATTGAGGGTGAGCCTGCTGAACTCCCCCTCCCCACTCTTGTTGGACAGACAAAAAGCCACTGCTTGTGAATCTGGGCTGCCAAAATCAGGAGGGAGTCCCCTTACGAGGGTCTTCCTTGGCTGTGAGTTCTGTGGGTCTGTCAGCACCATGGACAGCTCCCTTGTCCTGATCCTGCCTGGGGAAAAAAGGGACAGGCCAGCCTGTCCAAGACCTCCAGCCCTGGTTGGTCCCTCTCAGTTGCTTTTGCTGAGGGAGCACACCATTTGCTGGCTGATCCACCAGGTGTGGCGCATACTACCGCCACCCCTTGACTCAGCAGCCTGGCCCCTCGACTCATGAGTCATCCCTTTACATGTGGACTGTGTCCGGAGGACCTTCGCAGGATGAGGAAAAAGGCTCCCTGGGGCAGTGGCAGGAAATAAGCAGCAGTTTATTTAAAAGAACCCAAGGCGGCTTACTGTGTTGAAACACCATATTTAGTGTTTCAACACAGTCAGCCGCCTTGGGTCCTTTTTTTCCAAGGAGAAAGGTGCGGGTTAAAAAAAGAGAAATGTTTTGGATGGATGGGTGGGTAGGTAGGTAGGTGGGTGGATGGATGGATGGATGGATGGATGGATGGATGGATGGATGGATGGATGGATGGATGGATGGATGGATGGATGGATGGACAGATAGATAGTGGTGTGGAGGCTGCTGGACTCCAGCTGGTGCCCGATCCTCCTTGGGATGGGCTGGTGGGCAGCAAGGCGCAGCTCCATTTCGAGGCACACTTTGGTGGTGGATGGGGCAGACCGGAGAGGGAGTGATGGGGACGAGGGGAAGGAGGGGGGGCTTGACTTGTGGCCGACCCTTTGGAGAGAGCGGCTTTTCATCTGGTCTCTGCTGGTTTCCTTTGGCAGGTGAAGATCCTACTTTTTGCTCCTCCGGCGTCCTGCAGGAAAAGCAACGTGAGTCTAGCTGTTTTCCTTTTATATACTATATATATCCACTCTAATGCCTAAATTACAAATGGCAGCACAGTTTAAATCCCCCCCCCAATAATGCTCTTTTCTGAGGCCATCTGGAGGCAAAAATCCAGCCTTGCTGATCCCCCTCTTTGGGATTATAAACCTGATTATTTATGACTCTAGGCATGTTTTCCTGGAGAGGGGGGGGGTAGCGATTGTCCATCTTCCCCTCCCTCAGCTGCCGGTTTACCCTGCACTCACTGGGAAGTCCGTGTCCCGCTCTCTTCCTGCTGGGCCTGTAAACTTTTCTTTGGGACGTAGTGCTCATGCCCCATGACTAGTCTGTTCTTCGCAGGCATGAGGTGCTGGGTCCGGATCCTGGTATCTCATGTTGCGAATGGTTCCCTAGGAGGAGCCTCAGGGTATCTGGCGGAAGTGGAGGCCCTCCAGAGGGCTGCCTGCAATTCCCGTTGGCCCAGTGTATGGCAGGGGATAATGGGAGCTGTGATCTGATTAGACTGGGAGGGCCACCCAGGCCCCAGGCCTGGTGCAGAATGATCTCCAGGGACCCCATGGAACTCCTGCTGAATTGGGTGGGTGGGGTGTATCAGGATGGGAAGAACCCCGGAGAGTCGGGCTGCCGGACCGAGGGAGGGAGTGGGTGGGAGTTGAATGAGGAACAGAAGACAAGATACAGTGGTGCCTCGCTAGACGATGATAATCCGTTCCATTGAAATCGCTGTCTAGCAAAATCATTGTCTAGCAAAAAGCAAATCATCGTCTAGCGAAAATTCATCTAGCGAATCGCTATAGTGATTGCAAAAAGTCAATGTCTAGCGAAAAACTGTCATGCAGGGTAACTGTCTAGCGAGGCACCACTGTAAATGTTTTCATTTCTCTTTTGCAAGGTGACTATAGTAAAACACCCATTTGGCCATCCACCTGCCCATCTTTGAAATGGTTAGCTCACCAGAAAGAGGTGAGGCAAGGAAAACCAAACGAGCGGGAGTTGGGGGGGTCAGGGGAGGGGAGGACACCCTCCAGGATGGCAGAAAGTGCTCAGGGGTGAATCAAAGCCATCTGGGAAGAATCCCAATTGTAAACGTGAAATGGTCTTGACTTTTGGGGTGTTTGAAAATTCAAAACAACATTCATGAACAGAGCGTGCCCCTTGGGTGAAAAAAGTGGTTCTCTTTTGTCTGGACTGCATTTGGCAATTCCCACGTTAACTATGGATCTCGCAGAAGGGGCCCTGGTTTTCCCCGCACGGGATCCTCCTTGGGGGGGGGACCCACTGGGCAGCCCAGTTCCCGTCAGCTCCATCGAGCGTTTAAAAGGGAGGGTTCGATCCCCCCCCCATTGCAAACTGGTTGTGGTGAAGCTGGCTCCCAAACTCTCCTGTTCCCGCATGCATGGCCCCCCGCCACCCACCCTCCCCACCTGTGCTCCCCATAACCCTTCAGGCACCTCTATCTTTTGCTTGGCTTGAGAGACTCGTTTCCTGACCCGCTAATCGGAAGCATATGCCAGCAGCCCTGTGTGCAAATTTATTTCTCCTTGACAGATTTGTTATCATCAACAACCAATAATAGTTGGACAGATGGCAGTGCGGCGCAGCCGGGCTTCTTATGGGGAAGGGAGAGGAAGGCTGTCGTTAGGTCTAGCTCTTGTTGAAGTCTGGATGGATTTCAGGGCACCCCACTCTTTAGAATAAGGGTTAGGGTTTGCTCCCCTTCCCATGGGCCCTGCTTTGTGCTTTTGCTCCTCTGGGGTGAGTCCTTTGAGCCAATGTGGCAGATCTGGATCTGTTCTTTCCTCCACGGGTGGCTGCAGTGTATGCGTTTGTGTGTGTGTGAGAGAGATAAAGAGAGAGAGAGAGCGCAGAAATCCCTTTGCAACCTCCATTGTCGGAAAGAGAGCAGAAATCCCTTTGCAACCTCCATTGTCGTAAGTGAGAGAGATCTCCCGAGGGAGGCCAGCTGTCTTCCCGTGGCTCGGATCTTTCCCCTCTTCTGATAAGCTGGAGCGGCGACATCGGCTTGCTATCTGCAAGGCTGTTAGAGCGGGCCATTAAGTGCGATGGCTTTTGATTAAGTTCTAGCAGCCCTGAATCCAGGCACTGCGGGAGATGTCCGACAGCTGAGTCCTGTGTCGTCCGCCCTCCCCCTGTCCCCCCGTTTAGACCCAGTACTTTGGAAACCACTTCTAATTTGGGGGGCGGGTTTCATCCCAGAGCTGACTCACAAAATCAGAGCCCCCCCTCCCCACACGGCTGCCACTCAGCCTTGCAGAAACAGGAGTGGCCGGTCTGTTTTGAGGGACCCCGCAGCTCTTGTAAAACTTCTTCCCTCTTGTCTTGAGGTGTTCCTCTCCCTCGGAGCAACACAAGGACTGGTGTCAGCCCTGGGGCAGCCTGCAAAAGGAGTGCAGGGGGGGCGTGCGAAGAAGGTGCAGCTCCCTCTCTGGGCAGACGGGAGAGGTGAACAGAGATCGGCTGGTATCTTAGGACAGATGCAGAAAAGAGGTGACGTTTGGAGGTCCAGGAGCACGGGGGTGGACTCGGGATTTTTACCTGCATTTAAATCCAATGGTGAGAAAGGAGAAGCCTTTCACTTTTAAAAACACACTGCATGGAGACACATGCCTTGCGTTGTTTTCTGTCTCTGTCTCAAGATCTCTCATGCCCTCCTTCTCCCTTGGGCCCACAGGCCCTTCCCTCATCAGGAGAAAGGGACCCACACTCGGATTTTGAAATGCTTTGGGTTCTGTTCGTCATTTCTCCCGAGCCCTGCTGACACGGCAGCCGCCAGGAGCCTCTCCAGCTGGCTGTGGGGGGGGGGAAACGAGAAAGAGGGGGACCCTCACCTTTGCCCAGATGTCTTCAGGACTGACCCACCTCCTGCCCTCCCTTGGCTCTCCCCCCCACCCCCAAATCAAGGTTCTTCAGCATTTGCCGGCCAGCCTCTCTTTCCCACCCAGCCACACACACACCCCCACGATCCAAATTGCGGGCTGTTACTCACACAGCTTTCTGCCTTCTGCATGGAATTTGATTTTTACCTCCTTTGTTCCTTTAGTTTGCATAATGATGCAATTAGCATAAATTGCAGTAATGACAGTATTTTTTTTTAAAAAAAATTAATTGCCAAGGAAAACTGATTTTTTTTAAAAAAAAAAACTTTACCTGGGAGGTTGTTTTAAGTTCCATGAAGTCGCCCGTATAATTTTGCCTCATTAAAACTCCTCCAGTAAACAGAGAAACAGACAATTTCCGACATAATCAGCTTTGTTGGGGAAGCTAATGAAATTTCTCTGTTTTCTCGACAGTCTTGCTCCACTCCTCTCCTCTCCCTGGCATGCTGGGCCTTCACAGTGGCTGGCTTCAATTATTGTGCCATCTGTGCCCTTGGCTGTCTCTGCAGTTGGCACCTCGGGCATCCTGGTGCCCTTCCCTGGATGGAGCCATCCTTATACCTTTGCTGGGTCTCTTAAGATCCGGTCCTTGTTTGGCAAAGAACAGGTTGAGGAAGAAGATTTTCCCTCCTGTCTCATAGCATTAGAACTCAGTGGGTTTGTTGGCTGAAGCTGAGCCATGAGAGCATCAGAGCAGGCAAAAAGGAGCGGGCGCCTTCTCAGGCTGCAGAATGAAGCGGTGGAACTCACGGCCACTTGTCTCTCCCCCAGGCTTGCCCGCTGACAAGGACTGCCCCGTCGGCAGGCAAACCTGCGTTTGCAAACCTGTTAAAACGGTTCCGGGGGATGGAAGGCACCAGAGAATCTTAAGCACAGTCTCTTCCTTCCTTTACTACAGGTCCTTAAAATGTGGGTTAAAAATTACATTAAACTTAGTTATCCAGGAGCTTAATGGGGGGATCCTGTGGAGGTGGAGATGCATCAGTTTCATGCCTTTTAATTAAGTGGCAGTTGAACAAGAGCGGAGGGAATCGGCGACCGAGCTGATCTTGGGAATGAAATGAACAAGTGGATTCACAGCCACCCATTATTGGAGTGGCTGGACCTTTTGGGGATTACTCAGAGGCTACGGCTGTTGGATGTGTGTGTGTTTGTGTCAGCCTCTGCTTAGTGTACGGACTCTCAAAGGTTCAGCCTCTGGCAGCACCTTCCGGTGGGGCTACTGGGAAGACCTCCCCTTTTCCTGGCCAACCAGCTCTAGCCAGGGTGACCAGTGGGCAGGAATGGTCTTCAGTGGAGTCTGGCAGGATCTGGGAAACCAGGGCCCCTCCGACCTGGAGTGGCTTCTTATCTGGGCTTGGTTTGAGACCCCAGCCAGCACCGCCAGCATTGGCTGCAAGGAGCAGATAACTCCTTTGTTAGTACAGCTTCACTGGATGCCAGTCTGTTTCCAGGGTCAGTTTAAAGTGCTGGTTATTACCCATAAAGCCCTTTAGAGCTTGAGTCCAGATGAGCTTTCTTGGCTTTTAAGATCTTCTGGAGAGGCCCTTAGATGGATTTCGTCACCCTCCCAAGCTTGTTGGGCAAGGACACGAGGCGGGGCCTTCTCGGTGGGTTTCATCACCCTCCCAAGCTTGTTTGGCAAGGACACGAGGCGGGGCCTTCTCAGTGGTTGCCCCCTAGCTCTGGAATGGGGAGCCCCGAGAAGTCCTTCTGTCAGGCCAAGAATGGAAGGACAAGGCTTTGCCCCTAGCTCTGGAATAGGGAGCCCCGAGAAGCCAGGTTGGTCCTTTCCCTCTTGTCCTTCTGCCGTCAGGCCAAGAATGGAAGGACAAGGCTTTTAAGCCATAAGTGGAGGTTTCCCCGATGGGGAAAAAAAGGCAGCATATAAATAATGTCAGTCAATCCATCGGTGGTGCCTCCATGGCCATTGGAGACAGAGAGAGACGGTGCCTGGATTGCACCCCTGGGTGGCCAAGGGGACATTGGGGGGAGCAGATCTTACTTGTCATCCACTGGTGCTTTTTTATTTTCAGTTCTTTCCATTCCTGCAAGGACACACACACACACACACACACGGGGAAAAGCCTTCTCTATAACATTCTTGATGGTTTGATCAAGCCGCCCGTCATATCGGCGTAATCTCTTTCCTCAAACCAGCAACTCTTGGACACACACACACCCCTGGGGAAAAGCCTTCTCTATAACTTTCTTGATCAAGCTGCCCGTCATATCCCCGTAATCTCTTTCCTCAAACCAGCAACTCTCTGGGGAGGCAGATCGACTGCCTGCCAGAAATGATGAACCCTAGATCTCCTTGGCAGCCACAGAGGACCCAAAAGGTCCCATTGCTCGGGTGGTGTCAAGGGCTAAGAGATCAGCCGCTGGACAGGAGAGGAAAGACCGGAGGGTAGCCCCGGGAGAAGATCCTTTTGTGTCAAAAGGCGAAGGAGGCAACCTCGCAGGGCTGGCGCATCTTCTTGCCCTTGCAGAGAAACGTGGTGCTGATGAGGCCGGATAATTGGGTTCCATCCTGCAGCCGTTTCCTTGGCAACGGATGCAGGCGGAGAAAATGCGGAGCCCGACTCATCCGGGGGGGGGGGAGATGGGCGTGAAGCAAACTCCGGTTCCACCCCAGCTTTATAGAAAGGGGGCAGTGTCAATATCCCGTTACCTGTTGTTCACGCTGCATTTCTCGAAGGTGTCCTGAACACACTGCAGTGCCAGTGATGTGTGATTTGACACTCCCGACCCCCAGGTGTGTGTGAGCAGAGAGCGGCTTTTGTCGGCTGGAGGAATAAACAGATGAAAATGGGCCTTGGGGCTGAGAGAGGCGGGCGGGTGGGGAAGCCTCCCATCGGCACACTGAAATGTAGGTCAGATTTGTGATCTCACTCCACCGTCTATCGCTAGGGAGCCCCGGGTCCTGGCATCTCCTTTTCCCATTGTTGCCAGCATAAGAGAGAGAGACTGCAGAAATCCATGGTCCCTTTTTTCCCCCTGTTAAAAAAAGAGCCTTTGATTTGTCCCAAAGGGACTTCACACAGATTTCAACTTCTAGGTTTAAAAATAAGAGCAGCCACTACACGTGCGCCTGGGGGGCTAATTTGCAAAACAACGGGGACTGGCCTTCCATTGGTACCAATGCCAGAACAGTTAGTACCTTGATTAGACCACTACAAAAAAATAAATAAAAAAATCAAACAGCTGGCTTTCCATGATAATTCATCCTCTTCAGGCTGTGCACCAAGTTCTTGCGGGGTAGCTCCAAAAAATCATACGCTTTTATTAAAGTCCCAAAGTCGCGCGGCCGTGGTTGAGGCCAGGTTTAGTGCCTTCTTTCATGCATTTATTTATTTCTTTAAAATATTTTCAATCCTGCCTTTTTTTTAATTAAGGAGAAAGATCCCAAGGAGACCTGGAGGGGGATAGTGGGCCGATGGGTTACGAAACAAAAGCCGAGACCCACTGAGAAGGATGAGGTTCCTTCCCCCAAGCATCCCAAGAGCTGGTGGGGAAATCGGCAATGGGGCTCAGCCCCTTCTCTTCCAAGAGGATTTCCATGTTATGGAATGGTCTGGCCGAATCCTGAGGCCTCAGGCCCTCAGCTTGGTCTGGCAGGTGGGAATGGCAGGTTCTGGGTTCTGGTGCTTTCACCCCACTGAGACTCTTTGGGAAGATCGAGGCGAGCAAGGGAAAAAGTGGTCGGCTAGCTAACTTTGTGCGGTGGATTTCTGCTTGCAGGGAGCATGGATGTTTAAAAACAACATCACCTGAAAATTATTTATACTGTGTGAGAGCTGCTCTAGAAAGAGGCACCCAGAAACACTTTCTTTCTTTCTTTCTTTCTTTCTTTCTTTCTTTCTTTCTTTCTTTCTTTCTTTCTTTCTTTCTTTCTTTCTTTCTTTCTTTCTTTCTTTCTTTCTTTCTTTCTTTCTTTCTTTCTTTTGCTTTTGGAAAGGTAAATGGAGGCCTTGCGTCATGAAGGGAACAATGCAGCGGGTCGCTTCCGATAGGAACAGAATATCATACCAAACAAGCTCATTGCATCTTGTTGGCCCCAAGGTTAGGGCCGGCATCGAAGGGAGGCAAGAAACGGCCCACGTGACCTCGGTCTGGGGCAGCTGGAAACCAAGGAAGGCGCCTCGGTCTTACTCCTTCTCTTTCTCTCTTTCAGGAGAATTGTACCGAGCTTCTTTACGGAAACACCGATGCCCACCGTTCTTTCTTTCTTTCTTTCTTTCTTTCTTTCTTTCTTTCTTTTGCTTTTGGAAAGGTAAATGGAGGCCTTGCGTCATGAAGGGAACAATGCAGCGGGTCGCTTCCGATAGGAACAGAATATCATACCAAACAAGCTCATTGCATCTTGTTGGCCCCAAGGTTAGGGCCGGCATCGAAGGGAGGCAAGAAACGGCCCACGTGACCTCGGTCTGGGGCAGCTGGAAACCAAGGAAGGCGCCTCGGTCTTACTCCTTCTCTTTCTCTCTTTCAGGAGAATTGTACCGAGCTTCTTTACGGAAGCACCGATGCCCACCGCAAGGCAGCGTGGAGATCCACGAGGACTCCGAGGTCAGCCCTTCCGTTCCAGGCAGGGAGGTGGGCTGGGCCGAGCGCCGGCTACAGCCCTTTTCGTGAGCAGTCCAGTACTCCAGAAAGGGGGCTTTTCTGCACTTTGAGCCTCGGAGGGGCTCGGATCTGACCTTGGCTGTTCCCATCCGGCTCTTTCGGAGGGAGGCTTCCTTCTCACACTTTCTCCCCCTCTTTCTCTTCAGGATGGGGGCCAGCACCAGAACTGCAAGACGCACGTCCTGCTCCTCGTCCTGCATGGGGGCAACATCTTGGATGCAGGTGGAGGCGAGCCAAGCAGCAAGGCGGCCGACATCAACACCTTCACGACGGTCTTTGAAGAGGTGACCCGGGCCCACTTCCCCGCCGCCCTCGGGCACATCCTGATCCGGCTGGTCCCCTGCCCGGCCGTCTGTGCTGAAGCCTTCGCCCTCATGGCAAAGTAAGCCCCCCTAAGAAAAGCTGCTTTCTCCTTAGTAAGTGGCTTTCATCCGGGATCTAAGCCTGAAGGAGGACCCCGTTTTTCCCTGTGAGCTTTTGTGGGGAAAGGAAAAAATCTGAACCCAAAGACATCTCTCTCTCTCTCCCCGTTTCTTTCTCTCTGTCAGTCGTAAGATGCTGTAGAATAGTCTTGAATGGCTACAGCCTCTCCTCTGTGAAATGGGTGTTAGCAGGAGTCTCTCTCCATCACTGGCCGTTGTTCTGTCAGCAGATGCACAATAAAGAAGAAAAGTGGTGGACTCCTAGGCAGCTGAAGTCGCTGCCAGACCCACGCCGCCGTTTGCACTTTGCCTGCAAGGCAACGCGTGGGGAACCATTGTCGGACTCCCGCGGGCAGGAATCCTGGCTGTGACGGTTCATTTCCTTTTGGTAGGATTGGCTCTCCAAGGCTCCTGTAGGGAGTTTCTCTGAGTGCAAAATTCAAAGCATGGCAAATAATTGGTTCAGCCTCTGGAATAAAAAAAAACGGTAGGATTGGCTCTCCAAGGCTCTTGTAGGGAGTTTCTCTGAGTGCAAGATTCAAAGCATGGCAAACAATTGGTTCAGCCTCTGGAATAAAAAAAACACAATCTTTGTGAAGCAGAGTGGCCCTGTTGGAATACGAGATTTAGCTGCGGCATGGCGGGGGGACGGTTTTATTTAGCCAGTATTTATTGCCTTCTGTGCTGCTCAAACACACAGGGGGAGGCCTCCGGGTGGCAGAGAGGCAGCTGCATGGAGATTTATTTATTTTATTTTATTTATTTAATTTATATGCCGCCCACTCTACCCAAAGGTCTCTGGGCGGCTTACAACAATTAAAATTCAATGGAATAAAATAAAATGATTAAAATACAATTAAAATACAATTAAAAT